GCCCGCTCCCGGTTGACTCCCCGCGCGGGCCGAGGTAGCAGCGAGCGGCGCGGGCGCAGGGCACCATCCTGCGCTCCCGTACCAAGCGTGCTCCTTGGCGGCTTACTGACTTCATCTTCTCATCATTAAAAAGCGACCACCTCGTACCGCCGAGGATTAATTAAATGAGGTCACGCGGTGTAGTTGACCGCGGGCGTCTGTTTTTCTTTACCCAGGTATTTTAAGTCCCTAGAAGCCTAGACCTGCCCTGTCTCCTCAGAACTGTGCTGTGCACACTAGCGAGGGCTTGAAAGGTGCAGAGGCAACAAGAACAAACGCCTCGGCGCACTTTTACCTCTACAGTCACTCGAGTTCCTCAGCATTGCTGTAAAATAAGGGAAGCAGAAGGAAGCAGTCTAGGTTTGCAAATGTGTACTTTGAAGTCCGTGTAGGTCCATGGTTACTAAAATCGAGAGAGAGTAGCGGTTAGTGCAAGAGCCGGAGCCTTTTGCGCTCAAAGTCTAGGTCCGTTTCCCCTCGGCCCCAGCCCGTCGGTAATGAGTTACACCGCGAGTCTGTCAGCTGTTCGAGCGGGTGTGCCCGAACGTGTTCAGCAGGGGGGTTGCTTTCCGTTTTTTAGGCAGCTTGGATTAATCAGGAGAAAGTCAGTGGCGCCAGCAAATGCAGATCTAGGAAGGAGCAAGTTCAGTAAGTAGTGTGCCTCGTTTCTTCATATTTCGTGCCTTGCACTTTTAACACTGGTAAAGCGTTCGGACACCCTGATCTTTTGCAGAGCAGTTATTTGACTACTTGATTGTTATTGATTTTGAGTCGACATGTTGGAATGATGGGAAACGCCACCAGACCCAGGAAATAAGTAAGTCTGGACTGCCCATGGCCAAAGCTGGCTGTCATTAGATGTCACTTTAAAGTTTATAGATATAAGCAAACAGTTAAAGAAAACAAGATCGTCTATGAATTGGTAGCTTACTATAAAACCTGACCCCCAAAACAGAAAACAAAAACCTAATGCCTAAATGTGTTGTCACATAAAATGATTTTTTTAACGGGGCAGGTAGAAAAGGGTATAGGGGGGATAAATGGTGATGGAAGGAGACTTGTCTTGGGGCGGTGAACACAATACAGACGATGTACTATAGAATTGTACACTTGAAACGTATATAATTCTGTTAACCAATGTCACCCCAATAAATTGAAATAATAAAATAATTGTTTTAGGATTACATAAAATCTAAATTGCATAGAAACTGGGGGAAAAATACCTTTGCAAAAAGGAGTATGTATATTTTAACTTCCATATGGTCATTATATTTAATGGTGGAAATATATTGAAGGGTTTTAAGTAGATACACTCAACTTTAAGGTTTTGACATTCTTTGGCATAACTTTAATTTTAACCATTACATCATACTGCTTTGGTCATTCTAATATGCTTTTACCGAAACAGTGATTGATTAAGGGTCAATTGATGATTCTCTCATGTAGTTGAATTTCCAGCAGTATTGCTGAACACATCAACTGGAGAGATTGAATCTGAGTTCCATGCTTATGTTCAGCCTCAGGAACACCCAGTTCTTTCTGAATTTTGCATGGAACTGACAGGCATAAAGCAGGTATGCCCTTCCCTTTTCCCCACCTCTCTTCTCACCCCCCCCCC